GGGTCGGGGGACTTAGTAAGTAGATAGTAAGTAGACTTATAAGTACCCTAAAAGGGACCCTAATTGGGGTTATAGTGGTTAAGTCCCGACAATAAGCAGTTGCTAAGTCCCCCGACCCTCCAAGTAGGAGCTTGGGGCCCCAGCTTAAGGCAACTCCCACGTGGCCGGAAGCATGAGGAAGGTTATTTTAATAAAATGACGTTGAAGTTTAGGGTTGGACGTGATCTGTAGGATTGTGAGTCCCGGAAATGAGTTTTTGTAAAGTTGACATAAAGCCATAAACTCCAGAAGGAATGGAACATCCAGTGCGCAGCAGCCTTCCATGCTCCGAGTTGCCCAAGACTGCAAGTCCTTTTCACTTCAACATGGTGCTGCTGGCTTTTATGTCATGGAGGTCTGCGACGAACTAGTTACGTACCAGTACTGGTGCTAGTACTAGCAAGACTCGCAGGAGTAGCACAAGTAGTACGAGCAGTACGAGTCGTACGAGTGGTACGAGCAGTACGAGTTGCAGTACAAGTTGTGGTACTAGTAGAAGGAGTAGGAGCAGTAGGAGTAGTAGTAGTAGTAGTAGTAGTAGTAGTAGTAGTAGTAGTAGTAGTACTAGTACTAGTACTAGTACTAGTACTAGTACTAGTACTAGTACTAGTACTAGTACTAGTACTAGTACTAGTACTAGTACTAGTAGTAGTAGTTGTTGTAGTAGTAGTAGCAGTAGTAGTAGTAGTAATAGTAGTAATCGTAGTAGAAGTAGTAGCAGTCGTAGCAGCAGTAGCAGCAGTAGTAGCAGTGTTAGTAGTAGTAGCAGTAGTAGTAGTAGCAGCAGTAGTAGTAGTAGTAGCAGTAGCAGTAGTAGCAGTAGTAGCAGTAGTAGCAGTAGTAGCAGTAGTAGCAGTAGTAGCAGTAGTAGCAGTAGTAGCAGTAGTAGCAGTAGTCGCAGTAGTCGCAGTAGTCGCAGTAGTAGCAGTAGTAGCAGCAGTAGTAGTAGTACTAGTAGTAGTAGTAGTAGTAGTAGTAGTAGTAGTAGTAGTAGTAGTAGTAGTGGTAGTAGTAGTAGTAGTAGTAGTAGTAGTAGTAGTAGTAGTAGTCGTAGTAGTAGTAGTCGTAGTAGTAGTAGTAATAATAATAGTAATAGTAGCAAATTATTATAATAATTATTATTATTAGTAGTAGTAGTAGTAGTCGTCGTGGTAGTAGCAGTAGTAGTAGTAGTAGTAGTAGCAGCAGTAGTACTAGTACTAGTACTAGTACTAGTACTAGTACTAGTACTAGTACTAGTACTAGTACTAGTACTAGTACTAGTACTGGTACTAGTAGTAGTAGTAGTAGTAGTAGTAGTAGTAGTAGTAGTAGTAGTAGTAGTAGTAGTAGTAGTAGTAGTAGTAGTAGTAGTTATGGTAGTAGTAGCGGTACCATTGCACCTGCTACTACTGCTACCATTGCTACTACTACTCCTGCTACTCCTAGGTCCTCACATCCGAAATGGTTGACTCGAAGCACTTTAAAGCTGCGAAGCCTTGCATTTGTCGTCAATTTGTTCCTTCGGCTCGGCTTCAACTTAACTCTACAATCCACAACCCTAAGCCTAAGCCCGAAAGCCTGAATCCTAGAGCCCCAAACCCCTGACCTTCGAGGTGGACTAAGCCAGCTGCAGACTCAACCCAAAAACCTAATGTAGGGGCCTAAATAATTACCTATACTATTTTGGGTGGTTCCTTGTTGTGATCATAGTATATGTAAAGGGCCCCAACACCCTGTTCGAAGTGTTATTGCTCCTGTAGTAAGCCAATGGGCACAGGAAGTCGGAGACAGCCGGCGCCTGGGAGATAAGCAGCTCAGCAGGCTAGGCAAGGGTTTTTTTCAGAGGGCTGAAGCTTCAGGGTTTCAGGGAGAGAGGGTTTGGGGTTTAGGGGTTTATAGGGTTTATAGGTTAAAGGGGTGTGCCATGGAGGGTTGCGGCTTTGGTTGCGGGGTTCGGTTTTTGGGAATGTGCGTCTCAGGCTTGGCAAGGCGTTTGCGGCTGCCAGTTTCACGCATGGAGACCTTGATGTGTTGTCTGGGCTCATAGAGTTTGACCCTGAGCCCTAGAACCCCCAACCCTTTACCTTAAATCATCTTAAATCCAACATTTGGGCATCTATGAAGATGCCAGTTTGGACTGTTCTAAACCTCACTTAGGGTTTAGGGTCCCTAAGGCCTCATGGGAGATTTCCTTCTTCTAGCGGCAACAACGCCTTCTAGGGACCAGCTGTTAAAACAGCACATTCGGCATCCGAGTAAGATCGTTCGGCAAAGGACTACAATGGCGTTAGGTAGAGCGCTCCCTAAACTCTGTCGACCCCTACCAACTTCTGTTAAGCCGGAACCTCATGGCGTTATGAAGTCTTCGGCAAGATCCCTCGCAGCTTCGCACCATTCCCCAAAGTCCAAAACCTTGTAATTATAATCCAGTGCCCTGCGCCCCTTGCACCGTAGAATGCACCGAGTAGTTTAGTCCACGGCTAGGGCTAACTTTCGACACAGCGAAACTGCAAAAGCCCTACCTCGCTCCGCCCCCCTCCGCTAGAACCGCAAGCCAACAGCTTTTTGTGGGAAAAAGCTCACATCCGAAGATGGACGCACCGTACGTCCCAATACATCGCCAAACCCTGAACCGCTCATCCTAGACCTCAACCCTAAACCCTTAACCCTCAACCCTAAACCCTAAAACCCTAAACCCTAAAACCCTAAACCCTATAAACCCTAAGACCCTAATACCCTAAACCCTAAATCAACACCTCCCATACCCTGCGCGGCTGTTGGATGTTGCGCCAGGGCGATGTTTGTACCGCCTGAAGCTTCGGATGCATCGGCTTCGTCTTTAAGGCTAATGTAGGAACTTAAGGGATCCTTAGGGGTTCCTTTTGAAGGGTTCCTATAAGGACTACCATAAGGGATCTGTAAGGGGACTATAATGCGGGGGTTCTATAATGTAGGAACCTGATTAAGGAACCTTGGTCCTTTTTTTAGGGTTCCTTTAGAGGGGTCTATAAGGGTTACTATAAGGGATCTATAAGGGTACTATAATAATGTAGGCACCTGATTAAGAAACCTTGGGCCTTTATGGGGGTTCCTTATATGAATCCCACTATTTTTTTTTTTTTGGGGGGGGGGTGGGTAAAGGCCCAGGGTTTCTTAGTCAGGTCCCTACATTAGGGGTTCAAGCTTTCGGAGTCGAGTTGGGGAAGCAACGACGAGGATAAAGGTTTGGGGATCAGGATGTCGGAATTGGGGTTTTCCGTTCTGAATGCGACGGGAATCGGGGTGGGTGTTGAGATGTGGGATTTCGAGGGTTCGCAGAAGGTTTATGACATTCTGATACACCTGAACATGCTGGCGGCTTCGTTCCCTATTCTCGATTTGGGAGTTTCCGAAAATAGGGGACCCTAAATAATAGAGTACCCCAAATAGTAGGATCCTCATTATAAGGAACCCAAAGTATGGTACCCCTGATTTTCGAAAAGCCCCATGTCGTAGAACCGGAATACAATCCTTAACCCAAGACCGTTCGCCCTCCCCCTGCCACAAGAAACCACAAACCCTGATCTCTCCTAAACCCGAAAGCCAGAAAAGCCCCCTAGAATAAGGGCCTTCATAATCAGAATAGGGTGTTTTGGGGCTCATGATACTATAGTTTCTTGATCCTTACATCCCTTAAAGCCCAAACCCTCAAGCACTATAAACCCTAAACCTTTAAACCTTCAATCCCCTCCTCAAACCCCAAAGCCTCGAACACTACACACCCTGAGTCCTAGCCCTCCAAACGCTGACATGGGTACATTGGTATGGAGGGAGGCTTTGGGGTCGAGGTTACTGAGGAGCTCAGGGTTTGGGTTCAGTGTTCAGGGTTTAGGGTTAAGGTTTAGGGCTTAAGGGGTTCAGGGTTTAGGGGTTGAAGGTTTAGGGTTTGGGGTTTTCTATGGCCAAGGCGTGGGTATTTAGGTTTTTCAGGGTTTCGGATATGAGGGGGCTAGCTACCTTAGGAGGCTTCAGGCTTAAGTAGCTAGCTTTGGAGGTACGGCTTAGGCTCAGGGTTTGGCCTTCAGGTAGTTGTCCTTCCCAGAATCCAAGCTCATGCGATCCCTGGAGACGCTCTCAAATCCCAAAACAGAACCGATGAGCTGCTCTAAACAAAAACAGGGAGTTTCGACTTTCAGCTCAGCTTGACGCTGGCTGCCGGTCCCGATTTTAGGTAGCAGCATTGAGGAGCGGCTCAGAATCTTGCTTTGACTGCCTTTTTGGTAGCATCTCATCACCTTATGACTTCAGGCCCTCCACCCATGGCCCATTATCCTACAAGAACAGTTTAGGGTTGCATTCCAGGAAAGGCAACGCCGCTTCTCCGGCGGATTTTATTGGGCGAAGGAGTTGGGATCGCAGCTACGGGGGCGCCCCTCGGAAGTGTTTCAAGATGTACGTAACGTACGTCGTAGCAAAGAACGCTGCGAATACAGGCTTTGTCGGGTTTGGGTAGGGTCTGATAAGCGGGCTATGAGCTTTTGGGAGCTAGGACTGCTGAAGACTACCTATGTAGTTCCTATTTTGTTGGTTTAACCAATTATATAGTTAGGATTCCATAATGTAACCCCAAAAAGGAACTACAATGGAGACTACAGGTGTGTCTTGTGGGGTGGTGGAGGGCGGAGCCTCCCCACAGGGTTCACCTGCTCTAGTATAGTATCCCTAAACCCGACATAAACCCTAAACCGCCCATAGAATTACGGGCTTCAAGGGGTGTAGAGTTTAGGGGTTTTACAGACGAGGGTATAAGTGATGAAAGCTTCTTCAGGTGCATGTGTCAGCCAGCGACCTTCGAAGGCCCTGAGAGGCCCAAGACTTTCGCATGCCGAGCAGGTCTGATCACTAGTGCAAAGCACAGCTAGACCATAGGCCGGTATGAAGCAGTCACAACTCTGTTGCTTGGCGTAAAAGATTGATCTCAATTCGCTTTGCGAGTGCCCATGGCCGAGAACCCTGGAGCTGCACAGCCCTCCTCACAACTTCCTCTTCAGCAGGGTATGAGCCCAACGCCTTTTGTGGATGGGGAACAACAAGGACCTGATTACTCCCGTCTGGAAACCCCGCAACTCCGTGGAGAAGATGGAAGGCAGCACGATGCTGCAGCAAGACCCAATGGCGTGATGCCTCGAAGTCAGGTGCCAGGGTCTGTTGGAGGTGCGGCAGCAGCGTCTGGAATAGATGAAGATGGGCCGCGAGGGCACGATCATGATCGTGAAGTGCGTGTCATGACTGGCAGAGCGGACAACCAGATGATACAAGATCCCCTTCAGGGGGAAACCGGACCCGCGTCGTCAGTGCATGAGTTAACCGCACATGGGCGCGACGGTACGATGTTTGACAGGAGCGGCGCCCCGCTCTTTGAGGGGTTCTCCCCTTCGCCTCTACCAGGCCAGAGTCCTATGACCGTTCCGGCGAGTTCTACGGGGAGGCCTTCGACCTGGTTCACGAGACTGGGCGACTATATTCAGAGAAGAGTGGAGGTGACAGCGTGGTCTACGCCGCCACATGGAGCGACTACACTGCACGGCACGGCATGGCCACGTCCGGATGCAGGTGTGATGATGAGTTCTTCGACGCACATGCAGGCTGCAGCTACTCCTCCTGGACGCAATGCGGATTCAGTTTCCAGTGGCTCGGCGGGTGTATCTGCTGAGTTGGTTCAGGCTGAAGTGGCAAGACAGCTGGAATCGGCTGTGGGAGGCATTATGGACCGCCTCCATCAAGAACGGCAGCGTACCGAGGAAGCAACCTTGGAAGCTCAGCGCCTCAGACAGCAGTTGGAAGTTCAGGAACTACATGTTCACCGGCTGCGCCATTCTCTACCTCCAGGGCCTCTTTCGGGGGTTCGGGAAGGAGATGAGGGTGGAGATATGTTGAGTGTTCAACCCGGAGTTTCAACAGAACAATCACTACCTGGTCCCCCGAGACCTTCGGCACTGCAAGATCGTCTGCCACCTCGAGATACCGAACGTGGCGGGGGTCATGCTTCTGAAGTTCCAGGTCTTAGTGGGCTTCAAGGGCAACAGCTTCGGGATGCTTCTTCTTCGGCGGGCTATGGTGTTGGTAGTGGAGATGTGTTGGGTGTTCAACCCAGAGTTTCAGCAGAACAATCACTACCTGGTCCCCAACTGCCGATACCAGCGGCTAGGCTTAGAACGAGGTCGCAGTCACCAGTTTTCAAGGACTATTTGGACTTGGCAGTGGGGGTAGAGATGATCAGGCCGCAGGACGTGGGTCTTACACGGGGCAACCTAGTGAACCTTCTCTACCACCTAGGCCACCTTTGCAACCGCCTCCTATGACTCCCACTCCAATGCCTCCGTCGTTGTCTGCTGGCCCAGGGAGCGCCGATTCGAACTTGCTGGCCACGTTGGCAAAGGGCATCGAGGCACTCTTGGTTCAGCAGCAGTCGACAAAGTCTGACAAGCCAGAAGCTGTGAAGCCTGGAATCAATGAGCTACCAGCACTTCCTGAGTACCAGCCGCTGACGGGGTCGATAGACTTGCTGCACTGGATAACGCATATCGGGCCGATCATGGAGGATCTTTCTGATACGAGTTCGATCTGGTGGCAGGCTACGATGAAGGCGGCGCTCAGTTGGTACGACCGCTACAGTTCTTCGGCTCCTTTGGCAAGGTTGCAGCTGACCCCTGAAGCTTCAAGCGAGCTGCAGCGGCCGGAGTGGGCTCGCGTGGAACGGAGGGCTACGGCGATGATGCTCAGTGCAGTGCCCCGCGGAGTACGGGAAGAGGTTATAGCTCATGGGCATGTGTCGTCGCTGTGCTTGTTGTGCAAGCTGTATGCTGTGTACCAGCCCGGCAACTTGCAGGAGAAGGCCCTGGTGCTCAAGATGCTGGAGCAGCCGGATGAGTGCAGCACGGCACTAGGGGCGGTGGAAGGCCTCAGAAAGTGGAGTTTGTGGAGAAAGAGGGCGATGTCGATTGGAATGGCGGAGCCGGATGCCTCAGTACTCCTGAAGGGCTTGGACAAGATTACAGGGCCCATTGTGAGGGCCAACTATGAGCTCTCGTTCAGAGTGAGTTTGATCCGGAGCACCTTGCAGGTGGATGTAAGTCCAAGCGCCACGACGGTGACCACTTTTCTTCAGCACCTCCAGGCGGAGATGGAACAGCAGGCCCGACTTGGGGCTACCCGTGGGGGAGCTGAGGTTTCTACGACCTTGCGGGCTTTGACGGCAAGGACGGAAGAGGCTGCGTGGCCGAGTACAACCACGACTTCGGCGCCTACGGGATCCACGACTACTACGCCGCCCAAGTCTCCTGGGAACGTTTGTAAGTTCTTCCTTGGTGAGCGGGGGTGCCGTCGTGGGAACAATTGCAAGTTCCCGCACACATGGAGCGCGATTGACAAGGCCTCTCGGTCTAAGCGATGTCTTTGCTGCGGAGGAGTCGGGCACCGAGCGCGAGAGTGTAAGGCACCTGGAGGCGGACAGGCCACCCCCAAAGGGACTCCGAAGGCAGCTTCTCTCGGCGTGAGTGACACTGGGGCCACTTCGAGCTCTACTACAACCGCGGAAGCGCCAGCGAGGCGCGTGAACTTTGATCCAGGCGAGATTCAGGCTAAGGTCCTCCAAGTGATGAACGAGATCAGCCACCTGCCTGTGTTTGAGCCTTTGGTTGCAGCCCTTGAGTGCTGGAAAGACAATGGGTTCTTTGGCCTCCGCGGGCCTAAGGGTGCTTCTGGACTCAGGCGCCACACATGTTCTTCGACAACCTCGAGATCCTAAAGAATGGGAGCAGGCTCGCGATGTTCATGTGCAGTTGGCGGGTGATGCTGTGACCGCGATGAAGCAAACGCTGAGTGGAAGCCTGCTTAGCTCGGAGGAACTGGCCCAGGTGATTGTCCCGCTGGGCAAGGTGATCTCGAACCTCGGGTACAAGCTCGATTGGACAGCTGAGCACTGCGTTCTACATGGTGAAGATGGAGAGCAGATCCCCTTGCAGGTGACCAACGGCTGTCCGGAGGTGAGCGAAGCGGTTGCCCAACGGCTTATCCACCGCTTGGAGACCCAGAAGCTACCGGAGCTTCAGGAGAGTACGCAGGCTTCGGCGAAGATGTTGAAGAAGCTCAAGGCTAGTTGGTGGGCCTGTATGGATGAGTATGTGAAGAGCGGGGACCTCCTGGAAGCTAAGGCGGCGGTGGACAAGGCCATCTTCATTGAGAACAAAGACGTGGTGAAAGAGCGGTTGCTTACCAGGCAGCCTCGACCTGGTGTTTGGGAGCTGATGAAGGAACTCGCCCTCAACCGGAGGGCCCGGAAGCGCCTACTACGAGCGGAGGCGTGGATTCTGCGATGGGACCCTCCTACTGTGGAAAGATCCAGGGAGGCGGTGAAGCACCTCTCCTTTTTGGGAGGCCATGTGTACATCAACATGAACACTTTGTTGGTGGACAATGAGTTCGCGGATGTTTGGAAAGTGATTCAGTGGGCGGCCTTCAAGGGCATGATCAGTGCAATGGTGGTCAAGGACTGCCCCGGGAGACCGTGGGATCAGCTTATGGCACGCCCCCACCGCAGCAAGTTTCTTTTCCTTCATGCCCTGGCGTCCGTGGCCAGGCAAGCAAAGGGCGGTGGAGCGGTCCGGATGTATGTCGAGGATCTGGATCGAAAGAACAAAGCTTGTGGATGTTCTTCTGAGGATGGGAAGTCAGGATGGCCAGCGTGGTCGCAACAGAAGGACGTTGAGGAGTACATGAGTGAGATGGGTTTGGTGGACGTGTCCATACAACGCTTCACTGGTGAACGCCATGTACGATTGGCCAAGATGAGCAGTGACGCGGCTTGGAGACTTCATGTGGCCCGGAACCACCAGCCTTTTCGGAGAGATTGTGCGGTTTGTGTTCGAAATAGTGCAGCTGGGCATCAGCACCGCGCTACGGCGCATCCGATGGCCTATAGCCTGAGTGTGGACGTTGTGGGTCCTCTCAAGGGATACGGTCGCTCTCCGGATGGAAAGTTTTTCAAGTACTTTGTCATCGGTGCCTTCAGGATTCCTAAGGTTGATGGCGGCCATGGTCATGGTGAAGTTCAAGGCTATCCTCTACCACCCGGTGATCCAGATGAGGAGGAGCAATGGCTCTCTGAGGACGAAGGAGATCCTGGAGGTGATGGCGGAGAGGCCGGAGGCGTAACTCCCGATGATGTTGAAGATGAAAAGAAGAAGTGGGAGGACCTCAAGGCTACGTTCAAAGAGCCCATTCAAACAACCACCCTCTACTTTGCGATCCCGGTGAACAACAAGAAGGCCGCAACAATGCTTCCTGCGGTCCAGAGGATCGTGGCGGATGTGAAATCCCTGGGCTTCCCGGTCACCCGTATGCATTCTGATCGTGGTGGTGAATTCAGGGGCCATCTGGTGAGAAAGTGGGCGTTGGCACAAGGGATGTGGCCTACTACGACTTCGGGGTCAGATTCGGCTGCAAACGGTGTGGCGGAGTCAGGTGTCCGATACCTGAAAAGGAGAGCCAGGATTCTTCTTGATGGTTCCCATGTTTCCAAGGAAAACTGGCCCACGGCGGTCCAGTATGCGGCGGCACAACAAAGAGCCGAAGCCCTTGGGAGCCTGCCTTCAATGCCGGTCGCCTATGGGACCAAGGTGTATGTCAAGACAAAGCGGTACAAGACTGGCGCGGTGGAGGACTTCGGTCCTCATTGGACCCAAGGGCGCTATGTGGGCCCATCCACGGATATCAGGGGCGGGCACGTCATCTTGAAAAGCTCTGGGACGTTCATCCAAACCACACATGTGCGAGTGACCCGAGATCCTCCAGCCCTAGATGAGGTTGCCCCCACCGTGATTGTGGAGTCTGATCACGATGATCCTCCTGGTGAGGAACCTCCTCTACCACCTCCTCTACTACCACCACCTGCCCATCGGATGAGGTCGAAAGGACCTAGTGCGGCCCGGTTGGATGGCTTCTACGAGGACTTCGAGGACTATGGCACCATCAAATGCGACGAGAGTTCGTTTGAGGAGGAGACGCACGGGATCAAGTACCTCCGGGTCGGGGAGATTGAGTATGTTGAGGGTGTGGCAAGAAGGATGTGCGAGAGAGGGACCTTTACGGAGCGCGAGTCGGCCAAGTTGCTGTCGCTCTTTGCTGGCACGTGTGGAAATCTTAAGGTTCCAAGGGCTCCCGCGGGCACCGGAATGATCCTTGGCGCCTTTGTTCACGGAGGTTCATTTGGCGTGACGCGGTATGGACGTGATCTCCCATGGGTGACCCAGTTCTTCAATGCCTTCATGATGAAGAAGATTCGGAAAAATTGGCCCACACTGGCGTGTTCATGGACTACTTTGGCAATCCAGGCGGCAACGGAGATCCCTCGTCACCGAGATCTTCATAATGAGCGAGGCAGTTACAACTATGCCCTGGAGCTGAAGACTGAGTCCGTTGAGGGACTTTGGGTTCAAGATCATGGTATGGAAAGACCTGTTGTTGGCGGGACCCATGCTCAGGACTACCAGTACAAGGATGCCGATGGCCGGGTTCATGAGGGCTGTGTGGTGAAGATTGATGAGAAGCCGGCGGTGTTTGATCCGTTGGTTCACCATGCCTTTGTGGATGAAGGAGGCATGAGGTGGTTTCTTTCAGCGTATACTCCCCAGGGCGCCTACAAGCTGGGTGAAAAGGACCAACAGTATTTGTCTTCTCTCAAGTTTCCCCTTGCCAATGAAGGTCGTGATGATGTTGGCTCTGACGGGGCGCTGGAAACCAGACCGGCACTAAAGGCGGTGACCTTCCCTTCCCCAACGACGTGGAGCCGAGCTCACGGTGTTGAAGGTGATGATGTGGAAGCTGCTACTGTTGGAGAGTGCGAAGCTACTTTGTGGGATTGGGCTTTGTATGTTGAAGACGACTTGGTTGAGGAGGAGGCGGATGCTGTGATGTGGGGTCCTACGAGGCTGAAGAGAGTGTGCAGTTCCGATGATCCGGGTTTAGAGACCGAGGGTCTGTTGAGAACTTTGGAGTTGCTGTCTGATGAGGAGATTGATGGAAGGCTCCAAATGGATTTGGCGCAGAGCGCCGAACATTGTGCGGCATTCGGGCTGCACGACCAGCCCCGCTTGGCAAAGCTTGAGCCTGAGTATGTGGAGGACATCGAGGGGATCATCAAGAATGCAGTCGACACCCGGACGCCGCTGCGACACACGTATAATGTGAGCCCTCAAGATGCCAAGAAGGAGATTGACAAGTGGAAGCCAGCTATCGCTAAGGAGGTCGGGGTGATTGAGAAAGGGTTTGTCAGGATTCATGCGAATGACATTCCAAGCCTCAAGGCCAAGTATGCGGTTCAGGAGCTCCCCTCTAAGCTGGTGTACACCGTGAAGCCCCCGGCCGAGGACACAGGTGATGGTTCAGAAGCGTCCTGCTGTAAGCGAAAGGCTCGTATAGTGTGTTGCGGAAACTATGCTGATGAGGAACAGAACGATCTGTTCGCTGGTGGTGCCGCAGCTGAGAGCCTTCGCTGCTCATTGACATATGCTGTTCACCGCCGATGGCGCTCGGGCATCGTTGATATCACAGGAGCGTTTATGTTGACTCCGCTGGAGCGGAGAGAGGGCCAGACAGTCTACATCATAAGGCCCCCGGCGGTGTTGATCCAGCTGGGATTGGCGGAACCCCACGAGCGGTGGATGTTGACGCATGGAATGTACGGCCTACGACAGTCGCCCAAGTTGTGGGCATCCTACCGTGATGGCTCTCTTTCGAGCCTGGAGATTGAGGCGGAGGAGAAGATTTGGACCCTGAAACAGGGTCAGGCCGAGCCAAACCTTTGGCTGGTCTATGAAGTGGGTTCGCCTGTGGATGCCTCTCCCGAGGCACTCGTCCTTGTCTATGTGGACGATATTTTGATTGCTGGACCTCTGTGGCTCCTCCGTGCGATTGCTGGTGCTATTGGCCGTAAATGGAAGATTTCTGAGCTGGATGTTTTGTCAGCAGAACACAACATACGGTTTCTTGGATGTGAGATTGTTACCAATGAACCAATGACGGCCATCTTTGTGCACCAGCAACCCTATATCGAGGAGATCCTTCGGCTCCACGAGATCTCTCCCGCAGAGCAGTCGTTGATCCAGGCTCCGCGCGAGACCGTGACCTTTGAAGCCTTTGAGGATCGGATGAACAGATCCGACAAGCTCAGCGGATCTGCGGTGAGCTACTTTGGTTGGCTCAGCGAAGCCGCCCGGACTTGAGCTTTGTTGTGAGTGCTATGGGATCACTGCTTACGAGGGCGGCCCCGAGGTGCCTGCAAATTGGGCATCGATTGCTCTCCTACCTGCAGCGCTCCAAGACCATGGCCCTGCGATTGATGCCAGTTGGAGGGGAGTTTGTTGCCTACTCCGATAGCAGCTTTGCCCCCACTGGAGGTAGAAGCCACACCGGCATCGTACTTACGTGGATGCGATCACCGATCAGCTGGAGGGCATGTAAACAGCCCTTCACGTGCCTGAGCACGGCCGAATGCGAGCTGGTGGCGGCCATTGAGGCTCTTACGATGGCGAACTCCCTCCTCACGGTGATCCAGCAGCTGGACGGCGATGTCAAAAAGGTTGTGCTGGGTGTGGATAACCAGGCGGCGATCTCCCTGGCTTCCCCCAGCACCAGTGCTTCGTGGAGGACCCGGCACCTCCGAGTTCGGGCTACCTACATCCATGAGAAGGTCCTGGACCAGAGCGTAGTGCTCCGCTACGTCCCGGGGAAGGAGCAGTGGGCGGACTTGCTTACGAAGAGCTTTCCAAGACAGAGGCTAGCAGAGCTGATGACGTTGTGGGGTTTTGTGGATACTGTTACCGAGGTGACTAAGGTTGCTGCCTTCCGAGCCCTGCTACTTTGCCATTTGGTCCAGACGGCACCAGCGCAGAGAAAGGACCCTTTGCCCTTGGATGGTTCGTTCGAACTCTACCTGATGCTGGCTTTGATGGCTGTGGCGTTGATTGCGGCTTGGGAAGTGATGTGGTGGCTTTGGGACCGCTGTTGCGGTTCACCGACCTCCTCGAGATCGGCAAGGCGTCTACGAAACCTACAAGAGGCGGTGCAGAGAGAGCTCACCGCTCAGTTGGCCCAGCAAAATCCGGGACCAGTTGGGGCTACTTCGAGTTTGCCGTCCTCTTCGGCGGCATCGGCTACGACGAGTTTGCCATCTTTCCCGACGGCGTCTACATCGAGTGTGCAACGGTTGCCACGAGTCCTTCGCAAAGTGACCGTTGAGGCTAGCACCCAGACGACGATTGGCGAGGACTACGTGCCGATCATCGAGTATTTGGACCGGGATGTCCCGGTGCCGGTGAGAGAGTGGCACCAAGGGCCGCTCTACGCGAGCCAGCATGGCGAAAACTTCCACACTAGCCCCACATGTTGGGGCCTGCGGAATGTCTCGAAGCCGAGAAGGCTGATGTTCTGCACGCTATGCCAAAATAACCACGGCAGATCGCTGTACTGAATAGGTGCACCTGCCAGTTTTCTGTATATGTGTGGCGACGCCATTCTTTGCGCCGCCAAGGAGGAGTGATGAAAGCTTCTTCAGGTGCATGTGTCAGCCAGCGACCTTCGAAGGCCCTGAGAGGCCCAAGACTTTCGCATGCCGAGCAGGTCTGATCACTAGTGCAAAGCACAGCTAGACCATAGGCCGGTATGAAGCAGTCACAACTCTGTTGCTTGGCGTAAAAGATTGATCTCAATTCGCTTTGTGAGTGCCCATGGCCGAGAACCCTGGAGCTGCACAGCCCTCCTCACAACTTCCTCTTCAGCAATAAGGGTTTAAGGCCCATGGAATGGCAGAGTCTTATGATTCTATGAGGTGCCAGGAGGCCTCTCAAAGGCCCGCAGGGTTGCCCGCAGACTTGAAATGGGCTTGCTTGGACAAGCCTAAGGTTACCCGTCTCATACACTATGCGTTACACACTTTATAGTGTTTAGTGTTTATAAGGTATTAGATAGGAGGAGGTTTGCTCTTGGAGTTTCTATATCCTGACATGAGAAGCTGCACTACTTAGCTGTCCATCTTTGAGGTTTAAGGGGGTCCTAAACCCTGAATCAACCGAAAACCTCAAACCCTGTGCGAGAGTTTAGTCGTAGCAGATTCCGAAATGCCGACATGGAGGAGCCTCTAGTTGCCCCCCCTTGTCGGTCTAGGGCTTCCATGGGTTGCCATATAGAGGTTACATCACTACAAGGGTCACTAATATCTAAGGGTGCCATCCGGTTTAGGGGTTTTAGGATTTTCGGGAGTTTGCTAGTTTAGGGTTTAAGGGTGAAGGAGTAATCCAGAAATCAGGCAAGCAGGGAATGTATACTAAGAGTAGAATGCTTTTACCCTTCCCACTGACGGTTCGCATCCCAAGGAATGCGTTCTTGCAGCTTGGCTGCCTTGCCGAAAACCGTCTCTGAGGATCCGAAAAAACCTACTGTTCCAGGGCGTTTCGCCTCTAATACAGGCGTCATTACCTACGATGTTGCAGGAATTTAGGGGTTTTAGCCCAGAATAAAGGGGTCACAGCCTACAATTTCGCAGCATCAGGGCTGTAGGTCAGCCCTAAACACATGGCATCAGACTTTCTTGTTCAACGTCTTCATGAATGAATGTCACAGGAGCATTTAATTTGCTTGGAATCCTTATCCTAATCTGCATGGTCGGAGCCCCCCCAAACCCCCAACACTATGTAGGTTTTGAGGTCGAGGTGCTTGTTGTAAGACTTGCCTGAGGGTTTCGGGTCAAGTTCGGAGGCAATTACTCCTACTTGGAGGTTAAACAATATATCAATATATTAACTATATATATATATATTTATATTAATATGATATTTACTATTATTGTTCATTATTATTATTATTATCATTATTATCATTAGTATTCAGAAGCTGCCCAAAACCCTGCAATAGTGGTATAATAGGAATATAATGTGGCCTTACTAGAATCCTTATAGTCACTATTACAGGTGGGGGCAGCTTCGAATTTATTATCATTATTGTTAAATGTTCTATATATATATACACATATACATATATATATATACATATATTCATAGGTTAAGACTCAGCATCAGGGCCTCGGGCCCGGTAAGGTCCCAAGTTGCTGAATTCTTTTGATGTAGGGTAGGTCATCACCTCTGTAGGGATCTTGAAGCGTTTTTTTCTCAAAATCTCCCCGAAGGCACCGTCTGTGAACGCCACCGAAACACAGTAGTCAGAACTGCAGACTTGTGAGGAAGATGAGTCCTCAAGCCCGAACCCCTGAATCCTAAGCAGCAACTTCAACACCCGAAGCCCTAAAGCTCCGGCCGCCTTTCACCCGCAGAGCCGTGCAAAACCCTAACCCCAAACCACTGCTCTCCATAAGCCGCATGGACCTAAAACTCAAAGTATTTGGCTCGGACTTAGCCGCCATGCCCCACGCCGAAAGGTTCGAGCCTAAACCCTGAAACCCAAGAATGTCCTAGACCCTATAACCCTAAACCCTAAAACCCGAAAACCTAAAACTCTTAAGCCCTAGACCCAAGAATGTTCAAAGAGTCAATACTTCGACTCTCAGGTGGTCATGCAGAAAGGCGAGGCAGACGTTGAGCCCGGGGGCTGGATCGAGGGGGGCTTGCTGGCTTTGGACACCGAGTTGTCCCTGTAGCGAGTACGGTAGGGGCCTAAATAATTGTTTTCACTTCTTGTTAAAAGTATAGTATACTGGGCCCCAGAACCCTGTTCTAATCATTAAGGCCTCTACAGCATCCTTTCGCTATGTCCTCAAAAGGTTGGTGGCTCGATACAGGAGTCGTGTTGGCTTGTGCAGACAGAGGTCTGAGCCTTTATCGCCTTATCGTCCTTAGAGACCGTCTCGTCCTTTGCTGTAATGTGCCCGGATGCACCAGGCTCCATTAAGCATTAATTAAGCAGCAAGGCTAAACCCTAAACCCTCATTAGCATGCTACTCTTTTCCCCTAGCCCCAAAAGGTGATCTCTCGACGGCGCAGCTGCTAAATCCGAGGGCTGAGAGCCCTAAACCCTAAACCCCTAAACCCTAAACCCCTAACCCCTAAACCCGTAAACCATCGTAAACCCTAAACCCCTAAACCCCTAAACCCTAAACCCGCCCACCCAAACTTGCAAAGCTGATCGTCGCATGCTCGTGCATCCTGCGCGAACTTCGCAATACAAGGAAAAAGCGGATGGTTGATGTTTAGGGCTTGGTGTAGGAGTCTGAAGAATCAGGAATACCTCCTTGTATATATATATATATATATATATATATATATATATATATTGAGCCCTTATAGTTAATCTAGATGACGATACCACATCTTTCGCATTTTTCGTTGAATCAATGTAAGGGTCCCCAAAACCCAATGTTGTTATTCACATGTCGTATAGCAAAACTCGCATGCATCACTCGAGTTGGAACAGCAGGGCTCGGCTTCTGATACCAATCCGCAGCTAATCCTTCTTGTTGAGTCGCACTGTTCTGTCGCGGAGGCTTCTCTTTTACTACAGACACCGATTTCAGCAGGAGACCCTCACCTGATTGCTGTTTGTAGACTTGTTCTAGGATGCCCAGTAGTACCCTTATTCCCTTTTTGTAGTCCTAGGTTCCTTATAAAGTTACCCAATACCAAAAAGAGAGGCCATTTTATTCTTAGGTTACGGGGTATCCTAGTGTCAGTGTTGCTGGCGAGAAGTCATATTAAGTTCCGGCTGCGATTACACTCATGTGCGTTCGTTGCAGGTGGATCCATCTTTCAGGTCTTGGAATGGAAGCACTGGCTCACATAATCTAGGAATGATTGCAATAGCATTTTTTGTGTTCCTTTAATATAGGAATAATTGCAATAGCATGTTTCGTGCTCCTTTATTATAATATTCCGCAAACCCAAGTAGAATTATCAATCAAGGCACCTGTATTACCTGATGTCGAACATGGGACAAACCTCAGCTAACCACGCACCTCACAACCTGAATCCGCAAGACGCAGGCCCTTTGGCCCAAAGATAGCGCAGAAGCCTCCTACGAGCACACAAAGAAGCATGCAACGGCCAAGAAGCCGAAATCCGAGTTGTGGTTGTTTTCATAACCCTAGACTCCTAAATCCGAAGCCAAAAGCCTCAGCCTGAGCGACAACAGTCCTCACCACCGCGTAGCATATCCCCAATCTGGGTTCATAGAACCCACTTACAAGCGACTTGCTGAATCGCATGGATCCTAGAAGTAAACCTCCTACTTCTCCGACTTCCAAAGTGAAGGAATAGCCCCTTAAACCCTATACCTAACACACCCTAAACCCTAAACCCTCAAGCCACTGAAGGAATAGCTCCAGCTCACGAGCCATGGCGGTCGATCGGGGCATCGCGAGCCCGGCGCGCAAACGACCAGAGGCTCAGAATCTCGGGAGTTATCTGACGGAACTATGCTTGACGGCTCTTTGGAATTATTGTTGTTCCTTTACAGTACAACTCCAAAGGAATATGTGTTACACATTTTGTGTTATGGTTCTAAGGGCACTATGGGGTTTGAGTCTAGGGGCCGCCTCACTTGGGTTCCTTCACCTTTTCCTGCGGTTGTTAAACGCGGGTGCATTCTTAATTGTTTAGTCAACCGAGGTTTCAGCACGGTTTGCAAAGCAAAAAGTGTGGTAGCTGCCGGAAACTATTATTGTAAGTTGGACGACAATTCATTCAGCCGGTACCGTTTTGTAGCAATCAGCATCTTCACCATCATCGCCATTTCCATGTCGCTCGCTGTGCTTTGTGTTATGCAGCGCGGCAGATCGCCGCGAGTAAATACCGTTGTTTTGGGTAAGCTCGCACAAAGCATCAACGCGTGTGTCAACGCGTCTGATGTCAAAATATGTAAGACACCCTTTTATCGAAATGCTGTGCGTACCAATGGTTTGAGCATGCTGGCACAAGGCAGGAACGCTGATGACAGTGAGTCAGTGGCAACCATCCTTCTGCAGCAAGTTGTATAGAGTGGTAAAAACGTTGTAAGCACCAGTGTTTTGGGCATGGCACAACCAAGAATCAACGTCATTATCTCTACCCGACTCTACCCCGCACCCCTATGCGTTCGCTGCCTGCTATAAGTACGTTCTATGAGGGTTTACTACGGAGATAGCTAGAATAGGGTGTTGGGATATGCTTTAAAAGCTTTTGTATGAACTTGCTTTATGGGACTTAGACCCTTTGGGCCATTCGAGCAGCCTTCAAAGGGTTCTGACTGCTTGTGTTCACGGATACTTGGGAGTTTCCCAAAATAAGGAACCCTCATATAGTACCCTAAATAGTAGGATCCTGATTATAAGGACCCCCAAATAAGGTACCCCTAATTTTGGGAAACTCCCACTTGCTTTCCGGTCCTGAGGGTTGTGAGGAGCTCCAGCGTGCCTGGACCCCACCCAAAAGTATGTAGAATAATAGCCCTTTTATGGGTATTGGGCCATGATTTTACCTACTTTGGGGGGAGGCTTGCAGGGTTTAGGGTTTAGGGGGCATTGAAGGAGTGTTAGAGTTCGATTCAGCGCAGAAGGTTCTATGCAAAGCCTAGCCCCTAAGACTTATAGGTGTTTTGTAGGGTTTCCGGGTTGAGGGTCATTGGAGATCACCGGTTCAGGGCTGCGTGGTTGAAGTTGTAGGGGATGCTGGCTTGTGGATGTAGAGTGTAGGGGTTGAATTCATTCCGGGTTCGGGTTCAGTTTTTTTTTTTTCTCGGTTTAGGCCTTGCAGGTGTCGATGGTATACGGGCTTGCGGCTGCGACTGTGGGCACCATATACTCTGATGCAGGTTTCAGCTTATAAGGGACTAGGCCCTTTATTTCAATATAGTACAGTAGAAGCCAGAAAGTTGGAATATCATTATCCTAACCCCTGTATGGTAAATTATAGGGGATCCTACCGTTAAGCCATATTCCAACTTTCTGGAGTTCCCTTTAAGTCCTTCTTCAGCATTGTGGCGGCTCGGGGTTCGTCTCGGTAGAGATCAGAAAAAATTGCTAGGGGTCTAAGTTCAGTAATTAGGGGTTTTTAATTTAAGCCTATCATAGTAGGGATCTACAGTGAATCATATGGTTACCTGAGTATGGTAACTTCAACTAAGTCCCTTAACAAGAACCCTGTGTATCCCACCGGCGCAGGCGCGACAGCAGGTTTTGCAGCAAGTTCTGCAGCAGGGCGGAGCCAAGCGGCTCGTCCCTAATTCACCCCCAGGGCCCTTTAATAGAGTCCTTATGGCCTTTCATTGTGTATTTGGGGTATATTAGAGGGTAGTTGCGGGGTCTAGGCAGAGGGCATGAGTTGAAGTCTATGACTTTGGAAACCCTAAACCCTAAACCCTAAACCCTAAACCCCTAAACCCTAAACTGGATTGAACCCACATGGTTTGAGGGGCCAGGGGTCACGGATAGGTAAACTCACACGTGTGCCTTGGGTGAAATCCTCGGAATTTCCTGGAAGCCCAGTTACCCACATCATGTGACGCTGTGTTATGTTTGTAGAACTTGTAAACAACAGTTACCTAAAGCACAGGTATCTGGGTTTCCATGGAAATCTATCAGGCCTTCAAGCCCAATAGACCCAAACTCAGTGTTCTCCAGGGTCTGGCCCCAGGAGAATCCTTATCATACAGATTCTTGCGACAGTTCAACATTACCACCGGGCCATGAAGTCTAATGACACCTTTCTTGTAGGCCCAAACCCTACAGAATTGTAGGATTATGACCCCTCAATTAGAAGGTATAATCCATGAACCAGTTGGCTTTTGGATACCCAGGTCTAGGTAGCTGAACAACGAAACTTCTAGCAACCCTAAACCCTAAGCCGGCACGAAACAGTAAACACCAGGATCAGGAGTACCTTAAGCCGATTTTGGACCGTCCATGACCCCACATATCAATTCCAAAACCATAACCCACCAGATTTCCGGTTCACTTGGAAGGGCAGAGGACTTAGTAAGTAGGTTATAAGTAGAGTTATAAGTACCCTAAATGGAGTTATCCCAATTATAACCCTACTTATAACCTACTTACTAAGTCCCCTGCCCTTCCAAGTAGGGTCTAGGGCTTCACAATAACTCCCGTAATATGCCTTGTAGAGTAGGTCATGGGGAACGAAAGCAGTGAGTGTCGTAGTTGCAATTGCTGACAAAAGCCTGGGTACTCATAGCTTTACAGCACTTGTATGAATCCTAGAACTAAGGGCCTGAGCTACTGGTTTAAGTCCCAAGGTTCAACTCGAAACACTAAACCGCAAACCTATGAGCGAACGCGTCCAACCGATAGGTTTTAACCCAGTTCAAATCTCCCGGAAATGCACAGCGCCGAAAAGCTTGGCATACGCCCAAAACTCCAAATCCTTTCGACTTGACGGTCAGAAATCGCCAACACTAGCAAGAAAGAGCAGCGAGACTAGTGTAGACAAGAACAGCTAGAACCCCCTAATCGTAATGATGGCGAAGATCGTTGGGATTGTCGACAGTGTTACGAGTACCAAGAAGAAGAACGAATAACAAAGAACCATCACACCCTGACTGTAAGCCCTAGACCTGAAACCTTAAGTCCTAAACCCTACAAGCCCCAACAACCAAGCCCTTACAAGCCCTAATTCCTATAACGTGCAGACCCTCAAGCCTAAAATCCCTAACCTAAACTCTGAAACCGATTCCTGACCCTGAAACCTACATCGTAACACGAGGTCCGCATCGCTTCTCCGCCGCTGGGCGAAAGAGGGACGCGCCTACCGGAGTTTGGTCTTCACAGTGGAGGCGGCTTAGGGGTTGAAGGTGTAGGGTTTCCGGTCTCGCGGTTGGTTTCAGGGTGTGGGATTTCGGGCTTTGGGGGTTGATTAATGTAGAAGCATCCCACAAACTGTACATGTGCACGCCGAACACAGCCTGTCACCCTGCAAACACCAAAGCTACCCCACAAACCCTGCACGCCGTAATTAGTCTACTGAGTCTAGACCACATAAGGCTCATAAGCCTTTGAAGGAGCCTTAGGAGCCACTAATCAAAGGTTCTTAGGTACTGTTTCGGGGCATACTATCCCCAAATCATAATAGTAATTCCTGATATAGAAACCCTACATTCTACTTTTTAGGTATTTTGGACTAGTAATTCCCGATATAATAGAAGCCCTACATTCTACTATATAGGTATCTTGGAGCCTTTGGGTTAGGACCCCTTTGCAAGGGGCCCGAGTTTTCGTGCCCGCGCAGGAAGTCGAGGCCGCTTTGAAAGCGACCGGCCTCGCTGCCGATGAGGCGTGCCTTCTGCGGATGGCGGAACGGTTCGGTTTCAGTCTTAATGCTTTCCTTAGGGGGTTATTATAATTCCTAATTAAGAAACAGCTAAAATTATGATTTTGGCTAGGGTTCTAAGTTCAGTATAGTTTTGGATAACCCTAAGCCCTGTAGCATATACCCTTACAGATACCCCGGATATTGGCCCTTATAAACCTTGAACCCCATTCGTTGTGGAGGCTATCCTTATTGCCCCCCCCGCAGGACGTGCTCTTCCTACGGACTTTTAGGTGCTACAGTTGAACCCCGAACTCTGGGAGGATCCAACAAGTAGATCTGTTAAAGGGGGTGCCTTTAAGGCTTCCTTAAAGAGATCTATAAGTAGATCCTTGAAGGGGGTTTCTTTCAGGCTTCCTTAAAGGGATCTATAATAAGGAACCCCAAAACCCTATTCTAATTCTTATCAGGTCCCTATACCACAGAACCCTCAGAGTAACCCTCATCTCTTTAAGGATTCCTTAAAGGGACCCAGGGATCTATAAGGCTTCTGGGTGTGGGGATCCCTTAAAGGTGGTCCCTATAAACTCCCCTATCCGGGAACACCCCGCCCGTCTGTCGAGAATGGACATCCGAAGGAAACGATGGCTTCCAGCTGAATCTCGGTAAATCAGGAACCCCGGAACCGCCGTGGAGAGTTTCAAGTTGGGGAAATTTTGCTACCTAAACCCGAACCCTTGTTCGGCTTGTACAGCTAAACCTCGTGGCAGCTCCGACTCCAGGCAGCTCCCACTCCAGCGGCACCAACAGCTGAAGAGGTCACTTACAGCGCTGTGAGGGTTCCGGTATGCCCGTAGGGCTGTTGAGTTTTGGGGTGCAGGCATTCCAGCTTTGGCAATAAACACCATAAAGTTGGAAACCGGAATAAGGCCAAATAGTGCTGCGATTCCCTATACCATACTCTTAAGGATTGGGGCTATTCCCAAAGGGTCCAAAGTACTGTTATGGGGGATACTTCCCCAAATCATAGTAGTAATTCCTGCTATAGGAACCCTACATTCTACTTTGTAGGAACCTTGGACCCTTTGGGATTGGGTTTCCAACTTTTTGTCTTCTACTGTAAAGTGTTGAGGCTGAGGCCCTCCAAAAGTGTCGATCCGAACCGCGCCAGGCCTTACCGCAGCCGGGTGAAGGCGTGATGGCCGCTTACTGGCATTGGGTGGAACCAGGTGGGAGTGATTTAAGGGGCTTTAGCCTATGGGGGATTAGTAGGGATTAGGGTTCCCGTAATGGGGTTCATGTTAAGGAATCCCTTGCCCAAGAATCTTAAACCCCCCTTTTGGCTTCCAATCAACATGATTTAGGGTCCAGGGTAAGGCGGCTTAGGCTTCGGGGTGATGACTTTCACTAGTCGTGTTTGGAGATCGCACACCATTCCCCACCCTTGTATGTAGTACATTCATGTCCGGGGCTGTGGATTGTTTACCGTAATAGCAGTTGCAGTGAAAATCTTGTTCTACACCAGCAGTCATGATATGTTCCACAACCTTATTCTGACTGTCAAGGTCCTATTAGATCGTTTACCCTGAAAGCCCATTCAATTCAAAAGCCCTGGCAATGGGACACGTGCCCCAGGTCCTGCTGAAATGTCAGTCCTGGCCTCCGGATGAGCTTTTGGAGGCCAGGGCAGGAACTTTTACACTTTCGGGTTTTTCGTGCTTATGTGCATCACGGCTGATGGACTTTACTATAGGGGTCCGTTAAAGGGATCTATAGGGGCTCCTTTAAAGGGATCTGTAGGGGTCCTTATGGGGTTTTGGGTTTAGGACTGTTGTCGCGTCTCGGGCTTAGTACGAAACCTTAAGCCTATGGCGCAAAAGGGTTGGTGGTACTCAGCAAATCTTCGCACGGCCCTCCTATCTCGCAGCGCCCTAAACCCTAAACCCTAAACCCTCAACCCTAAACCCTGCCGTGGGGGGGGGGGGGTGCGTCACATCGTGACAGAGCGGTTCAGGAAGTGAGGGAGCCCCTGAATCACAAGATGGGTTGTCCTTTGGGATCTTTTTAATTTCCCCTATTATTTTGTAGAGAGCCATAATAGTAAATAATTTTCAAAGGGCTTACAGGACAACTCAGCAAGACACCTCCCACCAAAAGCACTCTCTGGTGTTTCACCCTAAACCCTACAACCGATGTCTAGAGTTTTGCGGAAACCCAGTGCTTTCGACCTGAAGATCCTCAGTGAGTCGGATAAAAGGTTTTGTCATCCAAAATCCGAAGCCAAGTTCCCAACCCTCATATATAGATTACCAACGTATTCCCTAAGGTCCCCTATTATAATAAGAGCATACCATACCCCAAGACCCTATTCTAGTTATTAAGGCCCCAACAGTCTCTCCAAAGCGCACAAACCCCAAACTCGAAAGCCTGGCATCGAACCCAGAACTCCTCTGGGGCATCAAAGGCCATACTCCCACAAGCCCTGCCTAGAATAACCACGGCACCTTAAACGAAACCCAAAACGCTGAACCCTAAGTTTGAGGATGCACCTAGACTAGCCAATGTACCTGAAAAGAAAGTACATGTATCGTTGTTCAGGGTCTCATCCCCTGTTTAAAGGCACACTGGTTACTCTAAATACCTAGACGCCTGATACCTGTAAGCCCGCTACACCTTGAACTGCCTCAGCCCTAAACCCCAACCTGCCTTACACTCAACTCGCATGCCGACACCCGAAATCCTTGTCAACCCCCAAACCCAAACCCATACCCCCTGAACCCTAAAACCGTAACCCCCCTTATAAACCCTAAACCCTAAACCCATAACCCCTGAACCCTAACCCCTTATAAACCCTAAACCCATAAGCCCAGAACCCTGAACCCCAAACCCTAAACCCTAAACCCTGAACCTAACCCATAACCCCAGAACCCTGAACCCTAAACCCTAAACCCTAAAACCCCTAAACTGTAAGCAAAGCGAGTAAGCCATCCACAGGCAGCAGTCCGCGTCGCAGGGCAGCTGGGGCCCCTCAGCCTCTTGGCCTGCCATGGAAAGAGGAACCATTAGATTGGTTTAGGGCTCCTGTAAGGATATCTATAAGGGTTTTTATAGGGATGGCAGTCCCTTCTGTTTTTATAAAGGATCTATACTTCATCTATCAGAGTATCAGTTTGGGGTTCCTTGCAAGTTATTTGGAAGGGTTTCTATAATATAAGGGATCTACAAGAGTACGATAAGGGAAAGACAAGCCGTAACATGGGTTTTCAGGGTTTAGTATTTAGGATCAAGATTTCAGGGTTTAGGTGCCTTAACTAGACAAGTTAGGATATAGAGTTTTGGGCTTATAGTCCAAAGTGAGTTTGTTACTGTTAAACTATGGAAAATATGGTATATTCGGGATGGTGGGCAATGCAGGATTCATATCATCAACCTAACGCCTTGGTGAAATCAGTAAGCCCTCGCTGCACTACATGATGTGACAAGTTTTTGGAATTGAAGGGCTTGGGCTCCTTGGATACTGGATCCTTTTGATGAAATACACCTGGTTTACGAGCCTTCATATGAGCCCTCAAGCCCTAAAGCCTTTAGGGTTTAAGATGTCGTTTCATAACCTGTCAGCTTCTGGTGTTCGACCCGTCGAATCAGAGACCGAAATAGCACAAGGTGTAGGGTTTGTGGCTTTTGGGCCTTAGTGCCTGAGGGGTTTAGGGGTTCAGGGGCTTGGGCTTAGGTTTAGGACTTCAGTGCTTTATGGAGTTTAGGGGTTCAGGGGTTAAGGTTAAGGGCTTTTAGGGTTTGGGGCTTCAGGATTTAGGGGTTTGGGGCCTTAGGCGTTTGGGGTTTACGTGTTTAGGATTTGGGGTTAGGTCCTAGGGTTAGAAAGCACCAGGTTCAATTAGCTCTTAGTGAGTGCACGTTTATTGTAGAGAGGAAGCTAGCCCTGTCACTGCTGGGCCGTAACTATGAGCCTGCTTGGTGGCAGGCTGTAGCATCCGTGATACCAGCTTCACAACACAAGTTTCCTGCAATGTAAAAGAGTAAGCCGTAGATACCTCCGGGCCCCGTAGTAGAACCTTTCTGGGGGTTCATATGTAGAATCCTATAAGGTATTCCCGAAAAGGAAGTACTATGGAGCCAATGGGTAGTTATAAAAACATAAAGCATCACATCACATCTCAGACATACCAGGAGCCTCTTTGGGTGTTGTTGCAGGTTTGGGACAGGTTTTGTGGTCTTGCTGTTCTTGGAGGTTCATGGGTAGTTATAAGTGGGGTTATAAGTAGGGCAACTATAGTTACAAGCCATATTAGGGGACATAGAACCCCACTTCTAACTCTCCATGAACCTCCAAGTAGGGACGAAAATCAGGCAGCCTTTGGGCCTTACGATCTGAGACTGCGTAATTCCTTCTGCAGATGCCCGGTTACATACTGCATACGGAAATACATAAACACAAGTACATATACGCGTACTTATGTATGCAGCCGCATGCCTGCATGATGGTACTTGTGTATCTGACAAATCGTTGACCACCATGTGCATGTACTGTGCGTAAGCACACGGGAAAGAGGCATTCGAATACTCGAACTATGTTCAGCCCTAAACCCGAAGCCCTAAACACTAAAGCCAGAAAGAGCCATTGCACTTAAAAAAAAAACACCAAAGCCCTAAAGCCCTAAACCCTAGACCCAGGTGAAGATGTGATCAAGCCCCATGTACGTGGAGCACTGCTGCGCAGTCTCTATGAGGATGGGAACGGCCCAGTGGGAGCAGTTTTTCGGATCTTCGGGCTTCAGGTTCAGGGTTGTTTGGGGGGTTGGGATTCAGGGTAGAGGTTTCAGGGTTTCGGGTCACAGGGTCCAGGATTTAGGCATTTATTCGCGATTTCGCGGATTTCAGCTCGGGTTGCTTATCACTGATCTGCTTTTGGTGCGAAACGTTGTGGCGGTGTTGTTGGTATCGTGCTCCTCATGAGCAGGATCGAAACACAAGATCTTCGCAAGGGCTTCCGTCATGTAGTTCATCTGAGACTAACAGTTTCGAGCAGGGATCACCCTCCAACCTGAGTCGAAACCCTAAACCCTAACTGAAGGATTTTCGGGCGCTATGAGCTCGAAAGCGTGATCCCCAAATCCTCAAACGCGGATGCCCTCCTGAGGCCTAGACACACCCTGAAGCCCTCCAGCCCACCCCCGGTAGAATCCCCAAAACTAGGTCTCCCAGTACCCTTCTCGTGGTCTCAGGTTCCTTATTATAACGGCGCCCAATACCAAGATGGGAGCCCCACACCCTTGCACCCTAAATCCCCTTTCTTGCTAGGTTACTGGGATCCTGGAGAAAGAGCCCTTAGCTAATCATTAAGGCTCCTGCATTACAGAACCCTATTATAGATCCCTTCTAGACCCCTTTAAAAGAACCGTTTAAAGCCTACATTAGCTCGCCAGGCCTCCGCCAAAAGAGCTCGACATCCGGACCTCATCTTAGCAGTGGGGCAGCCGCCAGTGAAGATCGGAGCTCATAAGGCCCCCTCTTGCAGGTGTCACGGTTTCCTTAAATTTAGGGGTACTTAAAAATAGTTTTTAATTTTTGGTTATTATAATCCCTAAGAAACAGCTAAAATTATACTTTTGGCTAGGGTTCTAAGTTCAGTATAGTTAAGGGGTTCCTATGAAGGTTGCTACAAGGGATCCATAAGGGTACTAGTAGGGGAAGGGTTCAGGGTTTATAGGGGCTTCTTTAAGGAGGGGTTTACGGTTCAGGGACTTCTTTAAGGAGAGGTTTAGGGTTGAGGGTTTAGAGGGTTTATGGCTTAGGGGTTTAGGTTTCGGTTTTAGGAGCTTCGTTAAGGCTTCCTTCACGTCTCACTACAAGGGTTCTTAAAAGGTTTCAGTATAAGGTTCAGTATTTCGAGTTTGAGGTCTGTTACTGTTTAGGAGTTCGAGGCTCTTTCAATGGTTCCTTTAAGGGTTCTAAAACCAACTCGAACAGGTAGCTATATGGGAGTTTCCGTAAATAGGGGTACCTTGTTCTGGGGTCCTTATAAGGATCCCAAAAATTTCTGGTACCATATTAGGGTCCCCTATTTTCGGAAACTCCCATATGGATCTTAGGGTGTTGTTGGGGGGATGCAGGACTTAGGCAGGGGATCGGGGTTAGGATTTGGCTTTTGGTGTTTCGGGACTAGTCTCGTGTTGGGGGGTGTCGTAAAAACCAATATCAGGCCAATCGCCAGACCTGAGCCCCACGGGTTCATGTACGTACACATGGGTTTAGGGGTTTAGGGTTTAGGGTATATGCTTGAGTCTTGAAGTAGTCCCTGTTATAGGTATTTTGATCGCCAGACCTGAATCTAAATGATAGCGGTGCCCTTTCTTACCCCCGAAGATGCCCCTGCACTGCTTGGGCCGCTGGGTGTTTGAAACGTGCTTGGGCATTTAGCATTTGGTGGTCTTAGGGATTTTCAGGTTTTTGGAGTTTACGGTTCAGGGTTTGGGATGTCGGGATGTCGAGCCGTTCGGTTCAGATGTTCGCCATTGCGGCACTGCTGACGCGGGACAAAACCAGAATGCCCCATAGAGAATCCAACGATGGTGCGCCTGCGGGGCTCGCATGTAAGATTCCTGGATGGAGACTTCAGATATCCCTTGGCGGGCTTGGAGTTTCGGGCTTAAAGCTTCGAGCTCCGAAGTGCATCCTTGAACCGCAGCTTCCTATGGTCTCCATTGTAGTTCCTTTTTTTGGTTTAACCAATATATAATCAGGATCCTATATGGGAGTTTCCGAAAATTAGGGGTACCTTATTTTGGGATCCTCATAATAAGGATCCTACTATTTAGGGTGCTATATTAGGGTCCCCTATTTTCGGAAACTCCCGTAAGGTAACCCCAAAAAGGAACTACAATGGAGACTACAGGTTGTGGCTGTGCTAGTCATGGGACTGAGTTGGCGCATCGGGCTCGGGGCTTCAAGGAGGTCGATCTGGCTTATTACACAGGGTACCTAGGGGTACTTAGATTTTTTTTAATTTTTGGTTATTATAATCCCTAAGAAACAGCTAAAATGATAAGTTTTGCTAGGGTTCTAAGTTCAGTATAGGCTAGGTTCGGATCAAGGCTTTAAGCGGCACGAGATACATAGCCTGTGTTGAGGAAACTTCTGCGTACTCATGATGCTTTGGAGTTGCTGAGAGTCGGTTCACAAGAACAAGGAAGCCGCTATGAGAGGTTACTTTCGTTCGAGACCTTTTCTTGTCTCCAGGAGATCCTTTCGAGTTTGTCCGACTTCATGCGGTGCAAGTGCCTAGTCTCTTATTATTCGGGTTTGGGGTTCATGCAGGCTTATAAGGCTTCTAGTCTACACCCGCAATACCCATTCCTGTTATCAAAGCTCGTATACTATACGGATGGGGGTTTGCGGCCTGCAGGTCCTCCACCCTTACACCGTAGTCCAGCCTGGAACATGGGGGTTATCAGTACTTCGAAGAGGTACGCACAAGCACAAACCTTGGACCGTTTTGATATGCCAAAGCACGTCTACGCAAGCTTACTATAGACTATAGGGGCCTAAACTGTTTCTTTTACTATCTTGGCGGCTCCTGTTATAATGATGGTACAATGGGCCCCAGAACCCTATTCTAACTATTAAGGCCCCTCTATTGCAGCCTAAACTCGGCTGTTCTTAAGTCGGGTTCCCCCTGTATGAGGAACAGCACCCCCAAACCGTGGGATTTCGGGTTTCCCTGAACCCTCAGAAACCTAATTTACCCGTTTAAGGGTTTCCTATCAAAATCTGTTTATAGACTAAGGTCTTAAAGGGTTTAAGGAAGAGCCTCCCTTCCCCTGTCTAAACAAAGTGACCACAGTCGCCCCCACAGTGTAATCAGGAGCCTTGAATGAAAACGGCAGGAGTTGCAATCCCCGTTTGACAACTTATGCAACAGAGATTTGCAAAACCCAATATACAAGCCCCGCAACGCCTGATAGTTCTATATTGTTCAACTTCAATCCAAAGCTCTAAAGCCTGTCATGCAACCGTCGTATGTAATCTCAGTTGGTGGAATTAAAGCTGTAGTTGAGGCTGCTTGGAGACGGGGGGGGCGTTCTCGCGACTTCGGGGCTCTAGGATGACAGGGATTATGGCAAGTTTACATGAAGGCTCATGGGACTTAGTAAGTAAGGTTATAAGTAGGTTATAATTAGGGTAACCCCACTTAGGGGACTTATAACCCCAATTATGAACTACTTACTCAGTCCCATGATCCTTTAAGTAGTGTTTCAGATCAAGTTAGGTCGAACAAGCCGCTGCTGGACTAGTTTGTCCACAAGCCGCAACCAGAAAGACCTTACAACCCTGGATCCCGAATCCCCAAACCCAAAGCCCTGAACCCTATTACCCTAAACCCTACCTAGACCTACTAAACCCTACTTTTTTGTAGGTTCTTATTGTAAACCCTAATATGGGATTTATAGGGACCTCCAAAAAGTAGGTTCTGGTAGGCTAAGGTAAACCCTAACTAAAACCCAAAACCCAAAACCCGAAACCGTAACCCTAAACCCTAGGTTCAGTGGAGCCTTCAGCGATGGGCTGCAGTCTTCCAGCAACATCCCGGACCAGAGTTCCCAGGCGGCTGGGGATCATCAGGGTGTTTCTCTTACCCTTGGTTAGTAGGGAATAGGGCTCCTTTAAAGGGATCTTTGGGGTTTAGTTTTTTTTTTAAGGGATCTTTACCTTTGGTTAGTAGGGAATGGAGGAATGGGGTACAAATATAACTAGTATTACTGCCATTCTTCCATTCCTTACTAACCAAAGGTAAGTTCTTCGTGTTTTCGAGTTGTGAGCTGGTTTTGGGGATTAGGATGTTGGGTTCAGAGGCCTAAACTTTGTAAACCCTAAATCTTTAGGGTTGAGGGTGTAAACCTTCAAGGCTTTTAGGGTTTAGGGTGTTTATTTAGGGTTCAGAGTTGGTGCTTCCTGTCGTCGGTGTTGAGGCTTGCCTTGCTCCATCTACGTCCCTGTTGTATTCTATTTACCGACGTTTTGGGTGTGTCTCGTTGGGCAGCTGCATCCGTGACGTAGTGTGGCACCAAATGTGGCCCTCGTCCCCCGCCAAACATGCTTTATCCAACGACGCTCTTCCTTGGGCTCTTCCCCGATTTAAATTGTACCACCGCTGCTCACCGAGTAGTCTTCTTTACATCCCTTCTTTCAGAGCCAACTTGAACTTGGCATCCTTAGCATCCTTCGGAGCCCCACCAAACACAAACTAAATGGTGAGATCATGAAACCGCGTTAAACCCCTGAACCTGGAACTCCTAAACCCTAAACCCTTACAAACTACACCGTTTTTTTCTACGAAAGCTGTTTAAACCCGAAGCCTTGTTCGTCACCAAGGCCCCAAACTCGGATTCTTCATCCCAAAACCTTCCTGAACCTTGTAGTTCGTATAGTTACTATTGCGCTTGACTTCTGTAGTTACTAGCACTACAAGTTTCGGAGTAGTAGCTATTACTGCTATAGCGCCTCTTGTTACTGCTACGATTGTTGTTCTTATGTTTGTTTTCGCAATTATGGTTTGGGTACGGCCCCCACTCAGTAATAGTTGAATAATATTCATAATACAGATACATTAGGACCCTAATAGTAGCACTATCATAGACTCTTACTGTATGGGGGCCGTGCCTAAATTATGGTCATAAGAGCCATCCTAAGCTCTATGGCTTGAAAAAAATACCGTATGCGCACTTCTATGATCAGCGTAAATCCCAAAAAGCTTAAACCTTTAAAGATAGGCCCCAAAGTAGTTCCTTTTTGGGATTACCTTATAGGATTATATATGAGCCCCAAAACGGAACTACTTTGGGGCCTTAGGGTAAACACATGACAAAGTGTCGGCCCTACGCCTTGCGCTTCATTTCCCTTAGGCTCTTGGCCCATGGAGCAGCCATGCGTAGGAACGCAGATCGTGTAAGGTATCCGCTGTTTAGGTTCAGGGTAGGGTTCAGACCGTGCCGGGGCGCCCTGCAGAAGGTTCTTCAAAAGCGTGTTCTTCCAATGCTTATGGCCCCTACTTGTGCACAGCAGTCTGTGAGAGTCGTCCACGTGCATGGGTTCGATAGACACCATCAAAGCAATGCACGGCATAGGGACCCCGACTGATTTTGATTGGTCTGGAAGCCAGGATTAGTGCTCCTTATTTAAAACTACTTGTAATGTATTTTGCCCAAGCTCGTAGCCTAATTATTGAGGCCCCTATGTTAAGAGTTTAGGGCTGAGAGTATGGGGGCTGTGTGGCTTTTGACTGGGGCTTAGTGCTAAACAAGTTTAGAGTGTTTCGTCAACGAATTTGGGTTGAAGTTTCTTTTGAACGGTTTTGGGTCCTGCATACCTGAGGGTCTGCAGTCGCTCCGGCCCAAACATAAACAGACCCTCATATCGAACTCTGAAAGCAATCCAATTCCTTAACTTCTCTGCTCTAATTATGGAGTACTATACCCCGAAACCCCACCCGAAGTCTTCGTCTTAAGGCCCGTTTGTCAAGCCGCTCAAAACATCGCTGGCAGCAAGGTGATCAAAGCAGTTGTTGAGTTCCTCTACACAGGCAGCTGCCAGGTGGAAGTAGGCATGCTCAGTGAGGTTGTGGCGCCGTGGCTCAGATTTCGTGGGCTGCAACACTTTCAAAGGTTTATAAATTGCTCAGAATGTACTTGTTCCTTCATGTCCCCTGCCTTGACCTCTATCTGAGCTTGTGATCTTCGTGTGGGCTTCACATCCCTTCTCAAATTCCACGGGTTCTCTTTGGGCACAGGGTTTCGGGCGTGGGGTTTCTGAGTGGTCCGGAAGAATTGGGTTCAGCGCACTTCTTTTGATGTTCATGGGCCATTCATGGGCGTCAAGGCTTTGCGAGTTTGGGGTTTGGTTTCGATGCTCTTGGAATAATGCCAATCAGAGATGGCGGCAACTCTACCTGTCGTGGAAGTCATGGAAGTTCCTTTCATTTTCTCGTTGCTACACAGCAGCTCTCGAACTCTACTCTAGCTTCCTGCTTTCTGTCCAGAGTTTTCGCCTTTAGACTTGCATGTTCAGCAGCAGCTGTTGTCACCCTCCCTCCGAATAGTATGAGAAATCCCATAAACCATTTACCGTACCATGGAATGTCCCAAGTATGCGTTAAAACCCTATTCCACATCGTAAAGCCCGCCTATCGG